TGCTGATTGGTGTTGGTTCTTATCTTTGGTCTTCTACTTTTCAGTATGTGATAGTGGCAAAGAAGGTGTCTTGGTTTTCTTTGATACTGGTCTGTGTGGACCTGGAGACTCCTATTTTGTTCATTTAAAGTAATTCTCACTGTTTCATGAACAACAGACAATCTTTTGTTTTTTTCTTAAGAAGGCAGCAACCTAATTAATGCAGAGGAAGTCTTTCATTGCTGTTATCTCAATGTCAAATACATAGTATAAAAAAAGCTATCCTCCATCAGAAGCCACATGCTGCCTCATTAAAAGCAAAAAGAGGAAACATTTTATTTACTTTGGAAAAAAAACCCAAAAAACTCCACATCAAAATAGAAATGGGGGAAGGGAGGAGAGGCTGCAGCTGTTGCAGTCAAAGTTTCAACTTCAGAGCTCTTTTTTAATGCTTGTCAAATTTGACAAGTTCATGTAGCTTCTGGTTTGTGGAGGTGTGCATATATTTACATATATTTACTGGTTTTGTTTCATGTCAGCAGGCAATTCTTGTTTAATAAATCAAGTGATGTTATATATAGTTAGAAAGAGATGGTGGTCAAAAGCTGACATCCTGTGTTCGTTTTTTAATAATGAGGCTTCCACTTGAGCATGGTCTTCCGTTGTTTGGTTTCCAGTGCATCCACTTCATCATGATTAATAAAATGCTTTGGTTAATTTGAGTGGCAGTGTCACTTAATGGGCAATTGGATAAGTCAAATTATCAGGGACACCGAAGCTAAGGGCCAAGCAATCTGTATAGCATTTATATTGCATTGATGCCAAACCTTTAGCCAGAGTTGGAATCAAAAAAAATGGAAGGAAAATTTACTTCTCTTAATTATATATTTTTGGCCAGTTAAATATCCCAAATCATTTTCTCATTTTCATCAATTACGTTCACTTGTTCTGTTCTCCAATATAAAATTTAGAAGGCAATTCACATAATTGAACTGATCCAAAAAGAAACTATTGAATGGTTGTTGTTCAGCAGTATTTGAAACTCCCAAAATGCAGAAGGATTTGCCTGGTGATTTTCCCTGCTGGTCTGTAATTTGTACAGATTCACCCGCCCCACAGCTCAGTCTGCAGTATGGTTTTGGTCCCAGCTTACTAAATCAGCTCCACTAATTTAGAGCCCACAGGAGTGTATGCGTTTTTAGGCCTATCAGTTGCCCAAGCTAAATATTCCCATTCTCTCTTTTCTTCTCTTTCTTCCTTTTCCAATCTGATCATTTAACGTGTTTTCAAAAATCTCACAAGTCATTTCTATCTGCTGGCTCACTGCCTGTTGGAAGAGTTATTTGGGGTGAAACAGTTGCACAAAACAGAGACAACCACTTTCAGAAGGTAACTTCTGGAGGGAAGGTTTCTAAGACCCGGGTTCTCTTCYTTCTAAAACTGGTGAACATCCTGGGGTCATCCCTCTAACACTGATGAAGTGACGGAGCTTAATGACTGAGGTGTGTTAAACTTGTCTGGCTCTGCATCTACATATCTGCCTCCCTGACTGGGCCTGGCCCTAGACCCAAAGTCAGGCCCGTTCCCTGTTTTTGCCTTCTGTCCGTCGATGGGTCATCTAGAGCAGTATTTTGTTGGTGTCTGTGTGTGTTTTTCCTGTGGTAACTTTACACTGTGACCTGCACTGATGCTGTAAATACTTGCACGCATGTTTGAGTATGAAAATACTCATCTGATTGGAGCTGTTATCTGAATAACATGGTTCTTATCCACATGGGCAAAAGTGGAAGAAAATTACTTGAATTCCTTGGGACCAGAAATTGCAGAAATGTGAGGAATGGCCCCAAGTACCAGGAGAGGCTGGGAGTCGATCTGCTGGAAAGCAGCTTTGCTGTGAAGGGTCTAGGGGTGCTGGTGGACAAGCTGACCTTAAGTCAGCAGKGTTGTCCTGTAGCCAAGAAGGTCAGTGGTATCCTGGGGGCAAAGTGTTGCCGCAGGTTGAGGGAGCTGATCCTCCCCCTCTATGCAGCCCTGGCGAGGCCACATCTGGAGTGCTGTGTCCAGAGGTGGCTCGTTGGAGGACAGATGGAGTTGAGGGCAAGTGTTTAGAAGTTCATCTTAACTTATTCTGCTTCTTTGAACTTAGCTGTTTGTGTGCTGTGGTTTTGAGTGGCTCTGTGAACTATATCTACTGTTTTAACTTCCAACTGAGTGTTTTTCCTGTGCATCAACACTCTGTGTTGGTTTACACCACCAGGGTTAGGGTTACCTGTATCTGCTGCTTCTGAGCTGAGCCTCAGTCCAGCAGGTAAACACAGGCTGGAGTGGGTGTCACTGGTGTCACTTTGAGTGAGCACAGCGAGACCCATGCTTCAGAAGAGACTCAAATGCCTTGCCATAGTCTTGGATATAAAGTGCAAATTAGGATATTTTCTATCATTATTATATCGTCACGTTAATAATGATTAGAGAAAGAACAAACACGACTTTCTTTTAAAAAGATTAATAAGGACTTGGTGGAGGGAACCTCTGCATGCTGCTTTCTTGACACACACAACATGCTGTGATGCATAATATTTCTAAAAATGGGAGAAGCGCTGAGATGTTCGGATTGATGTTTCGGTGCCTGTCTGATTTCAGTGTCTGCCTGAAATATAGGGTTCAATAATCCTATTATGTGTGTCTGGCACTCTCCTCCTTCTTTAGCAATGAGGCTCCTATAACTGCTGTAGTGAGGCAGAACAGCCGAAGCCTAATTCTGTGGTGTCTCATCCTGTCATTCAGCAAAGTTATGTCCTCATCAGATGCACTCTATTGTTTTCTTTCCTGCTGTGTGGTATTGATTTTTCTAACCTTTCTTAATGTTAAATTTGCTTGGCTTTTTAACTTTCTTACCAMAGGTTAACACTATTAAGTTGAGCAGGTCTCTATAAAACTGCAAGCATTATTGCCCATCTTGCACTGATTACAGTGTCCTTTGATCTAATCCTGGTTGCACTGGTAAGTTCTGGGACGAAGATTTTCCTGTCATTTGTGAATAATATAGCAAAGGTTGGGAAGAACTGCAGTTGAGTTGCTGCCCAAATCTGTGTGAAACAGTGGTTTAAAATGCTACATCTGATATGTTGGGAGCAAGAGAATTGTCAAAAACCTCCTAGTGCCGACAAACATGGACCACACAGGCATTCCAGCAAGGTCATGGGAAGAGCTGAGGGCTGCTGCCTGTTATCTCCCCCGGTATGTTCTGCCCAGCCAGTTTCCTCAGGATCACAGCAAGAAGGAACAGAGCTGGTAGTGGCTGTTAATGCCAGAACTGTTCATCACAGAGAGCAARTCGGGTATCGCAGTTTAATTTGAAGGGTTTGGTGGCTTGAACAGTGATAACCTGTCAGGGTTTTCCAGTACGGTCTACAGGGGGGACTTGCRTGAAGTGTCAAAACTGCAGACGGTGAGTGAGCAGTTTCAGGTCCTGCTGTTAAGCTGGGTGACATTTGTGCTGCTGCTCTCACAGTGTCATCGCGCTACCGGTGYCACGGGCAGGTCTCCCGCAGCCTGTCTTTGCAGCAGCGCAGCCCAGCTGTCTTCCGGAGCYGCCGCTTGTCCCCTACAAGGCCCTCCAGCCACCCTGTTGAAGCTTCTCTCCTCACTAGTGCCTCGCAGCTGCTTGGTGGTGTTTCTTTCTCATCCAGGAACATCTTGAGAAGCTAGACAAGGGCTAACCTCAAGCAAAATGTTGCTAGCAGTAGCAAGGGTGAAATAAAAGCTGTTGCGGATCCTCACTCAGGAACCCTCAGAGAGTTGCATAGGTGCAGTCTTCCTGGGTGGGATGCAGAATTGCAGACTGCCTGTGGTTGCCAAAAGCAGGCTAGCCAAGGAGGCGAGCGGGCTTGTTAGTGATTGCAGGACAGCATATTTCAAAAGTACTGAGGGGAGGTTTAAATCTATTATTTATAAATCGGTACCTATAAACCACTGACTTTGCCAGCACTGTGGAGCCAAGAAATGATCCTGGCACAAGATAAAAGACTGCCCTCTTTTTACTGTTAATTTAAGATCTAGTAACTCAGGTTACTGTCTTATCTCCCATGCTCAGCAGTAGCTGTCCTTGCCATTGATTTAGTCTTCATCTGCCATGTGTTCAAAGGCGGCTTGTGAAAGTCTGGGCAGGTTCTGTTTATCTGTAGTTCCTCAAAGCTTGGTCCCTTTTGCCACTGTTATTGACTATTCTGAGGCTACGTGAGAGCACCYCGCTCCTAGTGTTGGAGGCATCTTTCCATTTAGAGTAGGCCTGGATTAGCGATTTTCCTTCAGTAGTTTTGAGTCCTTCTGTCACAGAAACATATTTTGGTTTGTTCCTATGTGTGTGCTGGCTGAGCAGGGCAGCATTTTGGTGATAATGTATGTCTTCCAATTGCACACCCATTATCTTGTTGCTTGTACTCCATTAAATGCTCTCCACGTCCACCTGGGAAATGGTGTCTTCTGTATCTTTGTTCTTGTCGCTGAGGTAGAGGCAGCCKGACTGTTGGAGGAATTTTTGATTTAACACAGTAATGTAGCTTACACACATATGCACACATGAAAAACTCTGTACTCTTTTTTTTTTGGTATCAGTTGTTACTGTGCATTGCAGGAAGATAAAATATGTCAGATAAAGACAAAGCTATGAAGCTCTTAAGGGTACCTTGAAGTGGGAAAAAGGGGAACCTCTAAATCCAGCTTGTGTGGTTCTTATTATAATTTATGGTGCTGCATGGGTATTTTTTATCCTCAAAACCTCTTTGAATGGTGACTTTAGGTGGTAGATGTACTTCTCTTTTGCTTACTCAGCACTTTATCAGAGGTTCGGGAATTGCTTTAGCTCTGAATTAAGAAGTCTAAATGGGTTTTCTCCACTTCAGCAAGCTCTAATTCATATTGCTGCACTGCAAGAAGGTTGTTGTTATATCACTGCAAATTAATTAGCTCAACTTTACTAATTTCAGGAGGCTGGACATCTTTACATCATGCTTCAATACGTAGAGCAAAAATGTAATAACCTGCAGAACCAAAGAAGACGGGTAGTCATTTTCCTACAACAGAAGTTACTTACCACTCATCATGTAAGAATTTGTCAGTCTAGCAGAGCATCATAAAACATCCAAAGCAACAAATGTACTTTTTGGGTTTGGGAGATCTACTCCTGTGCCTGTGTAACAGCTATTTCTTAGGAGTTTGTTCAGCTAGGACTTAAGTTCTTTAGGTTCTCTAAGGATAATAGTCTTTTATTAGTTCTGCATCTGCATGTGAAGAATTTAGAAATTGTTAACTGAATTCTTAACTGTTAATAACCAAAGTTCTTGAAATTGGAAGATAACAAATATTTTTCTTTCTGTTTTCTTGCTTCTTCACTAGGGGTGTGAGTTCATAGAGACGATGGATCAGGACTTCACCGACTTCACCAAGTGCCTTCAGATACTTCAGAAAAAGATAGAAAAGAGCAATCTCCAGGTAAAAGCACCTATCACTGCCTTGCTAGTGATTACGCTTCTTTTTGGTAAACTTAGGCTTATGTTTTAAGTTTACACTAAAATAGAACATTTTCTGTGGCCTTGCTGTTCTGAGGTTTTGCCACCTTTACAGTACACCTTATAAACACTGTTGCTTCTGCTGGAAGGAATTGCCCACTCTGCCAATGAACACACATTGGCTTTCTTAGAAGGCAGCTTGTATTGATTTCTGTTAGTGAACTAGCCAAAGTGCTGCAGAGCACTTGTGGCTGCTGCTCAAAGYAAGAGTCCCACTTTGGCATGTAAATATGTTGTCAAGTCTTGCCATACTGAGCCTTGATGTTCATGTCTCCTTCTCCTCTCCCAAAGGTGAGATGGGAGGGGAGGGATCTTGGCCTGCCAATATTACATGTGATGAGCCAACTCCTGCAAAAGGTTCACCTGGAATCAAAGGGAACCTTTGCAGAGCAAGCAGTGGACTAGACTTCAAAGAAGCCATATGGAGTTTTCAGCTGTTCAGTTATTTAGAAAGGCAGAAAAGGAAACCTTCCCTGTTTGATGCTTTGTTTTTGGGCAACTACTTGCTTAGCCTCTGAGAGATGTGAAGTTGAAGTTTATTGGGCAAGGGAATTTTTGACATAAAGAAGCAGTAGCAGATATGGTCTTGGCATTGCTGCCATTCTTCCTTGTAGAGTGTCTCCTTCCTAAGGGATGAACCCTCTCTGTGGAGGGCTGAGTCTCTCTTTACCGGTGGGTGAAAGGAATTGAGAAGAAGCATTTGTTGCATCCCCTTTACAACAGTGAGGACAAAAGCCTTGCAAGAGAACAAAGACAGAAACACAAGATCTAAGAAGAAGGATAAACCTCATCCTTTCCCATGTTCACTCTATCAGGATAAGAAAATCGACTAACTTCCTGGTGACTTCCTGACTTGCTCTCCAACAAGGCATTGAGAGTTGGAAATGCCTTTGTCCACTCCTCTGATCAAGGAGACACAGAATTAACCAGTTTCTTCTTAAGCACTTTGGTAACCAGTTTTTGCTTAAGCTCTTTGAGAATGTCTTGACCTTCGATAGGTGGTGCATGCCCATAGGAAACTTGAAAATGCTGTCCTATAGTTCCATTCTCACTTGTTTCCCCACACTGCATCCTCCACATATACAGCTTTTTGTCAGTTCTCTAATTTTTCCTTATTAGTATGGACAAGATGGGAAGGTTTCTCCGCATCACTGTATATTCGTATCACAGCCACTGTTTGGCTGTGAGCCACAAGCTCCTTATCTGGTAGTTTAGGGTGGAAGAGGGCTGCCTTTTCCCTTTCTGCAGTTTTTTATCACGGGAGCACACATGGCTTTCTTGCTACCTAGGACAGGAGTGTTAATGATTGCTGTTGGAACAGATGAGATTTGTTTTGACTATGAGAAGCAAGGTGTTTCCCCTCTTAAAAGAGTTAAAAGAGAGAGACTAACAGAAGAATTTCCTAGCTTCATTTTATTGTCAGATCCTTTTGCGATAGAGGGAATTATTTTTTAAGATATCAAGAGATATCTTAAGAAACAAGAGATTTTTGCAATGCATAATTAAAATGAGACCACTGGGAACCTGACATCTACAGATATGTTTCAGGAAGGAGCAACGTGTTTGTAAGTTTTTGAATTTTTTGAATCTCTTCTAGGTAAAGCTACATGTTAGTTTGGGTAAAGGATATTGCACTGTAAATTCTGATGATCATAAATTCAATTGGAATTGCAGTCATTGCGTACAAGTCATGCCAGTGCATAAAAGCTGTTTTTCTGCCACATGGCCCTTCCTCATCTACCCCTTCTGACAGGAGACATCAGAAGCTGGAGCAGAATGTTCAATTAGACAAATTCTTCAACTAGCCAAAGTRCTGCAGAGCAGTTGTGGCTGATGCTTAAAGCAAGAGTCTCACTTTGGCATGTAAATATGTTGTCAAGTCTTGGCATACTGAGCCTTGATGTTCATCAACAAGGTCAATTGTTGTGACAGAGCCCCCTTTTAGGGATGGTGAAGAGTTCTATTGTTTCACTGGAACAGGCTGCCTGGAGAGGTTGTGGAGTCTCCTTCTCTGGAGATCTTCCCAACCCACCTGRATGCCGCCCTRTGCCCCGTGCTCTGGGTGTCCCTGCTGCAGCAGAGGGATTGGACTGGATGATCTYTAGAGGTACCTTCCAACCTTAAGGATATTGTGATTCTGTGACTGTATAAAGTATTTGTTTTGGTTCAGAAGCACTAAATAAATTCATTAGAAGGAGGTATGTCCCAGTGTTACTTACTTTGTTGTCTGGTCACTTGATAGCACAGAGATTTTGAGCATTTATCACGTTACRCTGGCCTTAATTTATGGATGAAACCACTTGGCTTTTCTGAAACTCCAGCCACTTTAAATAYCAAAATCTGCATTGTCTAATTTTAGGCATACCTTTTGAAAGCAGTTTGGCATAGAAGAAATCAAGTGATATGTAAACAGACTGTTGAAGCCACTTCAGAGGAGGGAAGAAAGCTGCCATTTGATTCTGTGGTCACCTGGGAAGTACATGCAGTGCAGGAGAAAGGAAGCTACAGGGGCTGAACGCCTCAAGTGACGAGAGAAGGATTTCTTCATCGGCATTGCTGTTTCTGTCCTAAAGTACAAACTGGCATGTTGCTATGTGGATTTTTTTTTCTTCAGAACAAATATCATTAAAACTTTTATTATACTTGAGACTATTAACTAGATGGAAGATGTCTTCCTAGTTTCAGGAAAAAAAAAAATCCATGTCTTTAAGTTTCATTTTACTCTCTTTCTGTCTGGTTTATCCAGGGCACTAGTCAAAGAGGAATATGTTGAAGAGACACTGCAAATCTATTTTTCCATGATTTACAGCTGATGTTGCTAAACAAGGGAAATATTCCTTTAGTATCTCAAATATATTTTGATTTTATGGCCACGCTCGGTTTTTTGCTGTTCTTGGTAGCAGTACGTTAAGCTAGGAAATTAATTAGACTCAGTATATACTCCCATTCTGTAATCTGGTGACATAGTTTGTCTGGATGAAGTTCAAATTGGAGGAGCCCAAGTATTTGAAAGAGGTGTTCCTCGATTGGCTAGGGAATAAATTATTCCTTATCTGCTGCACCAGCAGATCAACTTTGGCTCTTATCTGTCAGTCACCTCAGTGGAAGTTCTGTGCAACGGAGATGTTGAGCTCGCTTGAAAGCATGGGGCGATATTTTGTTCCAAAGGAATTAAATTTATGCAATCCTCTCTTCCATGCCTCTGCGTCTCCCTCCTCCTYCTTTTCCTTCTTGCTCAGCCAAAGAGTTTTTGAACAAATAAGTTTTGAAGAGAGGAATAGAATCTTGAAAGATAATTAAATCCCACAGATTTCTGGGATGCAGTCATATGGGTGGAAGGAAAGGTGAGGCAGAAGTTTGGTGTCCCCCACTGAAGAGAAGGCTTTAAAGTCAGTTTATGTTCTGCTAGYTTGGGCAGAGGCCTTAGAAATGCCTCTAGCACAGGGAAAGGTGTTAGAATTGACGGTCAACTATGGGAGAGAATTTGAGAGAAAGGATGTCTTGTTAGTTCTGGAACTACTTGTTTGGTAACGGTAATTTTATCTTCTAGAAAAAAAAAAATAGGTTCACAATTGCTTTTCCCTTAAGTCTTAAAGAAAAAATCTTATTCCGTATGTTCRTTGTTTTCTGATTTACGTCGCTTACTGCAGTATTACGTTTTGCTTGCGTAACYAAGTCATATGGAAAGCAGGATGTGGGTCAGTTTTGATTTCAGAGCCTCCTTATTACAGATATTTATAATTGCATTCTGCAGCGAATGTTAGAATAAGCAATACTTGTTAGTTTTGCAATCTAGACTCAGTCCTACTTTTCTCTCCTCACAGCCACAATTCATTTGTAAATTGAATTGCATTGGGTAGGTGAAGCAGTGAGGTGCCCCTCACTGCGTATGTGCAAACTCATAGATTTTCTGGCCGTACACCGCCTTGGTTCCTTGCACAACTTTTTTGTGTGTTATAGCTCTGCCTTCATTACTGGCATGTGTTTCATTTGCATTGTTTATGATCTATTGAACACTTAGTGCATATTTTGTTTTACTGCTTTAATCACTATTTTATCTCTGGTGCAGTTATTTGAGTGCTTCCTTCAATACAAGACCTTCAAGTAACCTTTTTACAGTAATTTCTCTCCAAATCTGCTTTCTGGTCATAATTTTCTCTCATCTAACACAAGTTATTTCAAGAAATGCATTCAAACTTGAAGAATGATAGACTWATAATATTGCTCATTTGGAGATCAACATATCTTGCACTAAAAGAGAAGATTATCTCCCTGTTGCAGGTCAGAAAACACAAGTGCCCTGCCCAGTCTCCCAGCATGCAAGTAGTGCCCCTGGGAAGGGTCTTTCAACTTCCCCATCCTGTTCAAACGTTCCTTCTGTGATACTGGTCTCACTCACAGGCATCTCTAACCTGTTAGAAGTGCAGGTCTGGTGATGAGCCGCACAACTTCAAGGAGAATCTTCCTAGCATGATAGTGGATTTAAGCCCTTATCTTGATCTCAGAGGTGCAAACTCTGCTTTCTTTAACTGTTTCTTCTCAAACACTGTTCAGTCTTGAAACTAAGCTCTGSAACTTTTCATTTAACTTCGTTCTCTTTTCCACTTAAAAAAGTTACAGCGGCTCATTTGCTTATATGGGCTGCAAATATGAAAGAAAAAGAAAAGAAAGATTTTATTGAAACTTACAGGCCTTCCTGTGGGTTAATATTAGTAGGTTTAGCTTGATAAAAATAACAGCATTAGGTTCAATAAGGACAAGTGCAGGGTCCTGCACCTGGGGAGGAATAACCCCAGGCATCAGTACAGATTAGGGGTCGACCTGCTGGAAAGCASCTCCACGGAGAGGGACCTGGGAGTCCTGGTTGACACCAAGTTAACCATGAGTGAGCAGTGTGCCCTCGTGGCCAAGAAGGCCAATGGG